CTACTGCAGCATCAGCTCCTTCAATGAGGTAAATAAATGAGATTCTGGGCCACATCAAAATGAGAGGAGATGCTCTCAGACAGAAGCATCCAGACTCAAAGTCCTCAGCCAGCAACATGGGGAAAGGAGGAGAGGAGACTGCTCCTTGATGTTCTCACAGGCCCGTCCTTTTTAAATTCAGCTCACATGTTGGCCTGCGCCATTTTACCTATGTTGACTCGTGCCATTTATCCTTATTGTCATCCCTCTCTCTGGGCATGCTCACAAAATAAACGTGTTCTCAGGGAAGGTTTTTAGACCAGTGGCCAGATCACGCCGCAAACAGGTTGATCTTTCCCAGAACTCCTGTTATTTTAATAATTTAACTCTCCTGAGAGAGCATTGTCTGACACTGAAAGCATCTGAAATGTTTTGGTTTTTTCCCAAGTGATGAGGTGCTTCTTTGCTCTCTGCCATCCCCAAGCAGGGAAGGAACCTGTGCCCGGGACTTGGACACTGTGATACCGGCTCAACACGAGGTTGACATAAGGGAAGCCATATTGTAGAAAAGAAACCTTATTGTAACTTTAAATGACCTCTGACCAACTAGCCTGGACACGCTCTATAGATTAGATTTTCTGCTCCTCCCAGCTGCTTTAAGATGAGAACGTTGTTCTTTTGGGTTCCTTAGGAATGTGATGACACGCAGGCAGAGAGTCTATGCTGATAGCCATCATCAATGACAACTGAAAGAGCAGAGTATAAGGCATTGCTTCATTCTCTGATGCATATCCAGTAAAACAAAGGACTATCAGGAACGGGGATAAGACATCTGCCCCAGCCAGGGACCAGCCACCTCCCCACCTGGAGACCAGCCCCGTATATCACTGGCCTGTAGTCTTTGTTCTGTCAGATGGTTCTTTTGGAGGTGAGTAGGCCATCTTCCCTCTTGCTAGCAAGCTGTCATAAAGTCCTTTCTCTCCTACCGCCTTGCCTCCTGACTATTGGCATGTCTTGCGGCGAGCAGACGATCCCCCTTGGGCAGTAACAACTGGAAGAACATTCTGAAGCTTAGGAGCAGCTATAGCAGCCACTAAGCACCAGGGTCAATTTATCGGCTCAGCCTTTCAGAAGCAACAGTGCGATTACGAGAGCTGAGACTTGAGCAGTTAATCAGACGGAAGCGAATACAAATATCTCAGTGACCAGCTATAACTGCATTTACACACTGTTCCGTAATAAGCTAATACCTCTAAATGTCAGTGTAAGAGATCTGGGCAGTTGAGCTGGATGCATATGCACTAAAACAGGCCTAGATGTGAGGCAAAAATATCAAATGTATTATTCATGACGTACTGCTTCCAGCCATCGCTGATACGTGCCGTCCAGGGACCAGGCCGACTGATGGCTTTTGCTGAGCTACGCAACAAACAACCACCATCTATTAGCCTCTGGTCCCGATAACCCCGATCTTGACCATAATGATGAGGATTTTAGGCTGGTTAATTTTAAAACTGCAGATGAGAAGCAGGCTCTGAGGAGTGGAATTTACTTGCCCTTTGTTGGGAGGTATTTGCATTTGTGGGGGGAACCTCCATCTGTGGAGATGCCTCCCTCTCTGTGCCAGGGAGAAGGGAGATGACCTTGTCTCTAGAAACTCTTACTCAATGCCAAAGGCAAGAAATTAAGTTGGTTGCTGTCTGGCAACCTCATGTAACTGATTTAGGGTGGTGGCTTCTGGCCTTTACTTAATCCGATTTGATTCTTATCTAAAAGTTGTGGGACCACCCAATGGCCAGACCCCACTGCACTGATACCATTTTAACTTTTTTACATGTTCTTTCCTTTGTCTTGCAAAGAGATGGCTCATATACCTATGCCTTAAATTTAGCCTTACTCCCCACCCATGTTTGCAGCAGGAGCAGGGGCTCCTCCTGCCCGTGGGTCCTGTCCCCACGCAGCAGCTCCGCCTGCCCATGGGTCCTGTCCCCATGCTATTCCACACTGTTCTCTAAATAAAAGAGCACTACCGCCAGATCTTGAGAGTCCAAGAAATCTTTCTTTTGACTCCTTGGCTCACCGACCCCGCATCAATTAAACTGAGAAGCAAATACTTATTCAAGATCTTTTGTAATTTTTCTTACTTTAAGGTTTTGGGACTTTTACCTAGAAAGAAAGGAAGGAAGATCTTTCCTTTCCTGGAGACCTTCAGAGACTCTTTATTGACTGGGTCCCTGACCAAGGGGAGAATTCACACCCAACCTCGGTGTCCAGGGCTATTTCAGCTGTCCTGTCAATGCCTTCATTTTTCTCTCTTGAACTTCCGTCATTCAACTTCTTAGCTACGTAACTTAACTATTATTTTAGGGTCAGGTAGTGGGGGAGGGACCTTAATGATACGAATGGAATAAATAAATAGTCAAGTGGCGGATGTTACTGTTGACTGACTGTCCTGCCTTTCTAACAGCACAGAAATGCATTAAAGTTTCATGCGCTGCCTACACTCTAAAGTCACACTCAGGCATCAGCTTATTTACTATCTCTCTCTCCCCAGTAGAATGTAGGCACAAAGAAGGTGAGGTTTTTTACCTCTTTTTATTCTTTGCTGCATTCACAACCCTGAAAACCGCACCCTTCGCGCAGAGGCCCAGCAAATACCTGTTGGGTGAAGAGCAGCAATGCCGTCAGGTTCAGCGTGGCGGGGAATCCAGCCCACATCGTGATGTCAGCAAAGCTTTCTATCCTGGAGAACCACAGAAAGCCTGCTGGTTTGGAATAAGAGCTTTTCGTTCCCAAGCCTGAATTAGTACCCGTGTAACCAAAAAGAAGGTACTTAATGTCTCTAAGCCTTAATTTCTTCATCTTTTAAGTGGGTGGAATAATATCTACCCTATAAAATACAAATCATCATTTTTAGGATAAAAGAACATTTTTAAGAAATACTCTGAAAAGGTAAGTACACAAACACAACACACTGCTTGTTATTATTACTATTACTATTATTACTATTATTAAGTTAGCTGCTCCCTCAGTACTTACCATGGCCTGGGCTTCTCCAGCCCGCGCGCATCTTCCTTAGCTCTGCTTTGATTTACTGGCCTTCTTCGTTCACTCCTGCCTGCTCCTGCATTGATACACACACTTTGGTATTTGTACCCTGGGCTCTTCCTGCATTTCTTCAGCAAACACTTCTGGAGTTCCCATTTTCAGGCAAAAAGGGGAGAAGGCACAGGCCTCCAGAGGCACAGACCTCCCGAGGGCGCAGTGAGGTGGAGAGATGTGCATGCTGCCCGCGGGGGGAAGACGCCCACCTCCTGACCTACACTCTTACTTCCCAACAACTAAACTTAGAAACGTTCATTGGGCTCGACTGAAAACAGAGAAAGCACAATAAAAACCACCTGAGGGGATATTGTGACATCCGCCAGCATCTCCCTCTCTTACCATGCAGATCTTCTGCCCTGAGCTATTACACTCGTTTCTAAAAGTTAAGAGATTTTACAAAGTTCTTGCTAAACACAGCATCTCCATGAACTGAAAGACCCGTGTGACTGGTTAAAGTGTAGTTCTGAGAGCAGTCATGATGCTCGCTGCTGTTCACTGAAGACCTTCTCCAGGGCAAGCGCTCTACAAGCAGATCTTTATATATATGTCACTCTCTTTAATAACACAAAGACAGGAAAATGCTGTAGCTAATAGCACAGGCTCTCAGGACGAACGCCAGCTCTGCCACTTGCTGGCTGGGTGACCTCCTCTCACTGTGCCTCATTTTCCCATTTTTGAATTGGGGATGATAATGTGGGGACCTGGAATTGGCCACCCCAAGATATGTCTCTTTGGCATCAGGATTATTTGAGGCTGATTGCTTTTGATAAACTGGGACAGGGAAGGAGGCTCTGAGGAATGGAACTTGCCCTTCCTTAGGACACATTTCCATTTGTAAGGTAAATCTCTATCTGTAGAAGGTGCCTCCCTCTCTGTACCAGGAAGAAGAAAGGCGATGACCTTCTCTCTAGAAACTCTTAATCAATACGAAAGGCAAGGACTTAAATCTGCATTTTATTGTGCTTCTCTGGTAACCTCCTGTAACTGACTTCCCTCTCCCTCCCAACTTTGGCATTTCTTTAAGGATTAAGCATCTTTCCTTAGGCTAGGAGCTGATTGCTGCGCTCACCTGTGACCGCCCAGCTCCAGACAATCGACTAGCCTCCTGCTACGCCCACCGAGAGAGCAGACCACTACCTGCTGTGTCCATCAAGCACTGTGCGACAGGGCAATCTTGTGACTATTGTGGGAGGGACATTTCAGTCACATGTGAAACACCCTGTTTGGGGGTATATAACCACTCTGTGCACCCCACTTCTTCGGTGCCCTTTCTTCCTTCGGGAAGAAAGGCCCCGGGCCATGGTTCCTCATAAAGCTTTGTTTAATTTTCTCTTGCTCTTCTGTCTCATGTGAATTTAATTCGTTCTCCGGCCAGACGAACCCACATTTGGGGAGTTCTACAATATAATAATAATTATAATAATACAATACAATAATACAATAATAAATAATACAATAATAAAATAATATAAATATATTAATATATATTTTATTTATATATTTATATATAAAAAATATATAAATAAAATAAAATAATACAATAATAAAACATCTAGTTTAAAGAATATTTTTGGAGGTTAAATTAATGAATACATGTCCAGCAGATAAATGCGTGAGACACACCAAAACTCCCGGAAAGGAGTAAGGACTGTACAAAGTGAGCTGTCCTCGGTAATCAATCATTCTGTCATCAATACTCCACACAACAAATGTGTATTGTCATTAGCTTTTATAGGTAAAGAAATTAAAGCGAGAATTGTTACAAAAAAGGAGAGGAATATTCTGATGTTATATTCACAGAAAACCCTGAGCTGAATTTGCCGAATTTAGAAGGTTGATGAGGTAATCCTTCTCGTCAAACCAGAATGTGACGGTTAGAATAGATAGGAAAGCCGGCCCCTGGCTATAGTCGGGTGGGGACTAATCCAGCATTTCCCCGGGGTGTGGGCTGGGGAGGGCTGGAGAATAAATCGGGGGTGTCAGTGACAAGGTGACATTTGCACGCGCCCTGAAGACTGAGTGGTTTCCGAGGTTCTGTAGAGAAAGATAGTGCGCAAGCAACTGAGGAAACCGTCTGAGCAAAGCCAGGAGGCTGAAAAGCAAAGTCTAAGTTCAGTCGTTCGCAGAGGTTTGGGTAGGAGAGGAGTGAAGTGCCACGGGGGCGACAGGGCCCACGAGTTAGGGGTGACGCTAAGGCAGGTCTTGGCCTGAGACTGAGCTCCGTTTATTCTCACGGCTTTAAGGGTGGGCGGGAAGAGAGGGATCCCTGTGGACTCGGGCTGGGGCAAGGGCGGCGGCCTCCCTGGGGAGCCAGCCGCAGGGCGGGGCCGGGCGGGGAGCCGGGCAGGCTCAGCGAGCAGGGCGGGAGCAGAGGCCCGTCCAGAGCTGCTCGGGGGTCGGCCAAGAGAGACAAGAGGGGCGCCTCAGAGGGGCCAGCAGGATCCAGTGATTGCAGAAAGGGAGGAAGGGCAGAGAGGAACAAGCAACGAGCCAGGTTTTAGGTGAAGTCACTAGGAGAAAGCCGTGCATCTTGCTGAGGAAAGAGGCATGCGAAAGTCAGTGTCTAACTGCGCTTCCGCGAGGAGCCAGCGGGTCGGCGAGGGCACCCCGAGGGGAGGTCCTGTACGGGCGTCTGAGCGCAGATGCCTGGCGGGCCCCTGGACTTGAGGTCTGGGGTCAGGCAGCCCGTCTGAAGTCCTCCTTCCGAAATGGCAGTCAGCACTGCGGCCCAAGATAAGCTGAGAATAGAAACTTGTATTTTAACGTGGAACCGAAGAAGGAAAGCTAGCAAAAGCAACTCAGGAAGAACTATTCTCGAGACAACAGCAGGAACGAGTATCCCAGAACCCAGGGGCAGAGTTGAGAGCAGAGATAGCAGGCGGCGGGGCTGTGACGAGGCGGAGCGATGGGGGGGGCTGAAGCGTCCTCCAGGCGGCTGAGGAAGGCGAGTCAGGAAGAAAGCTGAATTAAAAATTTCCTCTATGACAATAACTTAAGAGGAAAATAGCCCGCGAAAAAGAGCTCAGAAGTAGGCTTTCATTGCAAACAAATGCCTTTGGGGACATGTAAATACTTTTGAATGTCACACTGTTTAACTCAAACAAATAATAATATAAAGTATTTAAACTTATAGATCAACTGAACTGGTCAAATTAGTCTATTTTTCTGTCCTTCTCTCTTCCCCACTAGAAGCAGATTAATTTAGGTGCTAGGTGTCTATTTACAGAATAACTTAATGACAATGCATGTTTTCACCAATCTCCTGGTACCCACCGTTAAAACACTGAAATAAGAATCCTTTTTTCTTAATCTTTACCAACTGTTTATCCCATTGAATTTTGAAGAAATTGAAAGAGTAAAAAAATTGGCGATTTGTCTGAAATAAGAGTGTGCTTGTTTTAAAAAAAGAAAAGGCTCCCCAGAGAACATTTTAATGCTGTTGAGCATTTAGTAAGAAAAACATTCAAATATAACCAACGTCAGCGGGCCTGCAAAACTGTCACTAAGTTTCAGAGGAGAACCAGGCTAAACCCAGGGGACGCCGCGTTGCTTGCTCTTCCTTCCTCATCAACTTCACCACTTAAAAATGTAGACACATCATCAGGACTGCTTCCGAGAGCCCAGTGCTCGCAGCAGAGGTTTCTTCTTAACTGTTTTTCCCCAGCCAAGTCTTGCTTAGCTGCCGCCTTTTAAATTATGTGCTCCACAATGAAATTGGATGTACCGCTTTTTAGGTTTGCGTCCAGCTAAGCTCATGTTTGGGGAGAAGCCAACCGTAGAGGCAGTTTTCTGCCTACGGGTAGGAAACTCCAAGTTCACTAAAGTTCAGAAAGTCCAGAAAGACCGATTACAGGGAAGGGTAGACAGGCCTGTTTGGTGGCTCAGGACCTTCACAGGACGCCCGAACCCCGCTGGCTCAGGTCAACACACTGCGTGGTACTGACGCACGATTTTCTCCTCTTCTCAGCTGCTCCATTTCCTTTCTCGTGGAGGACCCCTGATAAATACGTGTTCATGTGGTTTTGTCCTCTGAAGATAGTCCATGTTTTCGTTCCAGAAATTCTTATTTAGTTAAAATAGCACTCTGACTTTTCAAAAAGTTTTTTTTTCACATTTATTATCTTATTCTCCCCATGGTGTAGAAATGACTACAGGAGGCTTGTCAACTCCGATAAGCCTCCTGGGCGCTTGCAGAGCAGAGCATTTCAATAGGTTGACAGTGGCCCCGCAGCTACATTAGGGGACCCTGGGCTACGGTCCAGACCTTCTGGCTCCAGGAGTGCGCCCTCTCCATCAGGTAAAGCTGACTTCCTGACGCAGGCTTATCTCTCATGTCTTGTACTTTTCCATGTTATTTTGATGACAAATAGATCATTTAAGGTGATTTTGCTCACAAATAACAGAAGACTTCTAATGGCTTTTCAAAAAGAGAAATTGTTATTTCATATAACAAAAACCCTGTAGGGCAATTGTTTCTGTTTCCTGGAGTGTCTCTACAGCCTGCCCAGACACCTGGGTTCATTCTTTCCCTTCCCTCTGCAGCCGTCCTCCTCAAGCTGGCCCCTGGTGGTTGTAGGATGGCTTTCCAAACATCCTGTCCTCGCACAGCAACACGGGAGGGTGGAGAGTCAGAACGCCCCGTTGGCCTTTGTTTAGAGTGGGAGTAGCTTTCCCCAACACTAGGCTACACTCCCCTCCCTTCTGGTTGACCAGAACAGGATTGCCTTAAACCAATAAAGCTTTGGCCCTGGAGCTGGGATGGACCCAGGCTCCCTGAAGAGTTTGCAGCCAACACTTAAAGGGAATCTGAGTGCTGTCATTAGGAAAGGTGTGAGCTAAGAGCAGGGACTGTCAGGCAAGCCTGATCATGAGGTGGCTCCTGGATGAGGTAAGAAAGAAAGCCTATTTGACCCAGACTTGGGAGTTGTAAGGATTTGTTCTTGGTCTAGTCAGCAAACTTGAATGACAGCCCTTAAATTTTCTGGACCAAATATACCTTCTGTTCTCCTTGGTGGTGCTTAACTTTTGGAGGGTTAATATCCACCATCAGATCTGTTGAGACCTATGGATCCTCTCTCCCCAGCGGAAATTGCTCGGGAATTCATACATACAAAATTTTACTTAACATTTCAGGGGGCCGAGAACTTCGTGGCACTCACTCAGAACAACTCGAGATTCATGCCCAGGTTCTCTGGTCAGGAAGCTTCAGGCTCCTCCGAGCCCACCCTGGGGACGTGCGGCACAGGGAATCAGTGCAAGAAAATACCAATTCTCTGGATCTTCTATTTCTGTGAGTAATAAAACCCTTTGTCTCTCACCCAGCAGTCTTACGTCTTCTGTCAGCATCCACAAAACTGTGACTGGCTAAGTTGTTAGTTTGCAAGTAGGGTGAAATCTCAAACCTTTCACAATTTTTGACACAGTGCTCCTCATTTAGGGAGCCGCATATGGTCAGAGAATTTGCCTGTAAAAGTTGCCTTTTCCTAACAAAATGGCTTGTGTTTTTGCATTCAATGATGAGATTTATGCAACCATTACATTTTTTCTTTTTGCCTTGGCTACTAGGAAGCTCAATAGTAAATTAACATTCAATTGAAATAACTTCATGAGCATAGGTTAAGAATAATTATCTTTTATTTGTTGTATACCATCTTGATATTAATATATCCATTTTCTTCTGGTAAACTGGTGAATGATAGTAAGAAAAGTTCATTGTCTTCTGGTAAGTGCTAAATGAATAAACAGTCCAGGATATGGCTAACCTGGACTATTATAGTATCTAACACTATTTAAATAATTATTTATATTGAACGATGTGTCCCAAATGCTACAGGCCCTCTCTTTTCAGAACGGGAACTCAGTGGGGTCAGAGTCTTCAGTGAATCCATGACACAAGGTCTAGGGAGAGCCACACCATGGCAGGAGCTCTGGGGCACTCCTGAAGTATGGGGGATACTGATGGTTCTCAGAGATGTGAGCTTGTATGACTCCTTCCCCTGCAGGAAGGACCAAGTTCTCAGTGGAGTACAAGGTGAGATCCAAGATGTGGGAATGATGAGGGCAGAAACTCTGAGGGCAAAGAGCGTTGAACATAGACTCCAGCAATGGGGCACCACACACTCTCCAGCAGTGTCCTGGGTCGAGTCTCCTAGAAGCAGAGCCTAGGACAGAGCTTCAAATATGTTTGATTTATTTAGAAAATACTAAGAGGGGATGAGAGAAGCATGATAAGGTAGGAGAAAGGGTCCAAGCAAGGTGTAGTCTTAGATAAAGTCCATCCTTGGCCTGATTGGTGGCATGGGAGTGGGGGACTTGCCTCCAATGAGGCCACTGTGCTAGGCTGGAGGGCATCGCATGCAGGACACATACCTGCCCCCGGGGCAACGTGGCTCCCATTGGCTGAGGGGCAGATCTCCAGGGAACCAACACTCCCAGCAGGTGGGGGAGATGCACTGCCCTGGTAAAGGAGACAGGAGAGGGCACCAACAGCATCTTCTAGAACAGGGCTGCCGGTGTGAGGGGTCAGCCTGAAGGATGCAGGACTGCATAGCACATGCAGTGTCACACTGGAGTTGCTGTGATGGCAAGTTTCCTAGCTGTAGACGATGGCAGGTCATTACCATGTCTGATATTGATAATTTGGGGGCTCTCTGGACTGACATTATCTACAAGTGGTCCCTTTAAGGATTAAAGTCAATGAGCTCCTTACTCCATTTTGTTATCCCTGATGGAGGGGAAGGGTCAAGTGCCAATTAGCAGGGTCTAAGTGGCCTCCTTCACTGTCACTGTCTCCCTCTGCAGATGCTTCCCCACCCCCATCTAGACACTCTCTGCCTTCATTTCTGGAACATGAAACCTCCTGAAGCTGGGGACTCCGTCCCCAGTGCCTGCTCTTTCCCTCAGCCTTCCCGCACTGGGACTTCCGGACACTCCTCTTCACCCCTCTCCCGGCGCCATCCTCCTCCCCTTCTACTCCCTGGACACCAGCACAGACTCAGTGACCAACTGGGGACACTAGAGAGTTTCTATGTGGGAGCGACTTCACGGTGGCCGTCTGGAGGGTGGGGCCACGCTGGGAGAGAGGGCTGGAAACTGCGCTGCGCAGGAAGCCTAGGGGTCTTCCTCAGAGGGCGCCCTAGGGGGAGCTGGGGAGGGTCGGCTCGCCGGAGCCATACAGTTGTCTGTCGGGCTCCTTTTCTTTGCACCCACTTGAAGGCACTTGGGGTAGCCTGTGGTTCACACGCGGCCGCTCCTCCAGTAGGATTCCTAACACGCGCACTGGTAGCTAGCTCACTGGCTCAGAGTCACGCACACCCCACTTTCCTCTTCTCTCTCATCCCTTGTTGGAGCGGAGCAAGTCTGCCCCCAGGTGCAGCCTACTAGAGAAGGCTGGACCAGTGGATTGATTGCTTCATTCATTCACTACCTTGGCAACCAATTATTGAATTCTTCCTTAGGTGAGAAGCTAGGAATACAGGAATTAGTGAGACAAAAATCCCTGCTTCCTCAAGGAACCACCAGTCAGATGGGAGAGAGATTAGCAAACAGGCAGTTAGGATCCCGTGGAACACGTGCTCTGATTACACGGGGCTGGGGACCCCAAAGGAGGGGCCAGACTCAGCTTTGAGGCCCCATGGAAGGATTCCCGAAAGTGTTGGTTTTCTGGACAAGCTCCCAAATGTTGGCCCTGTTGTCTAGCATCCCTCAGAGCCTCCTTTAGCTCTGAAGCATGCACTTCTGATGTGAGATGGAATATTGCTTTGAAAAGCAATGCTTGATGCAGTCAGACCACTGTGGGCTTTGCTCAGAAATCTAGGAGAGAGTCCTTCAAAGGTGCGTGTACCCCAGGATACAAAATGGAGTGCCAGACCAAAGTGTCCGAACCCCTCCTGACATCCATTTTAACCTCTTTCTAAAAATAGAAAAGGCTTGGGCTCCCTTCACATCGAACATGGACAGATGCACAGGTCCTCACTCGATGTGTGTGACAGTCACACTGTCACATGGCGGAGAGATGGTGGGGCACACCCTTGCTAACTGGTTCACTTTAGTCTCATGCGGTATGTTGCTGGGTACGTGCCCACAATTTACTCATTGTATTATCTAGATTTAACTGATCCTCACAAAAGAAACCACAGATCGAAGGCAATTCTCGTGATATGGGCTCAAGAGAACAAGAAAGTGGAGGGGCTAACTCTCCTAACAGGAGACACATTTGCAGGTAAAAATAGCAATTGCTTCATTTTTATGTGAACTTTTATAAATTTCTGTTTTGCTTAAAATGCATAGTGTGCAAAATATGCCTATACAACAGAATGTTCTCAGATTTGTAAGTAAATACATAAATTCAGCCATTTGCTTAAAAATGTTTCATTGACAGTGATTTTTTATTAAAAATGCTGATGGACCACTGATTTAAATTGCTAATCCCTGACTCAAAGTAGGCAGCCAGTCTCTGTCGGGGAGCTCCTCTTGCCCTCCTGGCTTCAGCTTCCTCTGCTCCACACCAAAAGCTCTGGATGCCTATGTTACAATGGGGCCACACCGGCAGTGGAACAAAGTAAGAAAAACAATGCTTTGGGTAAATTGCAAAGTAAAAGTCCAGAGGGACTCTTTCTGTTTCCTGGCTGAAGTCCCTCATGGCTATGAAAGCAGTAGAAAGCTCGACACCTTCCTGGATGTGGCAGGCCACTGTCCACCTTGGTGACAGGCATGCGGCTCACCTTCTGCTGGGATGTATTGCCAAGCTCCATGATGGTTTTATGAAATCCCGTCTTTGATTTGGTGCCTGGCGGTTTGCAGTTAGAAGTCTTACCTTGTTCTGGATGGAAACCATGTAAAACTATCACAATATATGTTGTTTTCATTCTAGACTATGAATTCATTGGCCGCCATCCAAACCAAACTTCAGCCCTATTTCCTCAATATTTGGCCCACATTTATAAACCTCAGAGAACCTCCCAGCCAACCTGGCTTGAATCTGAAGTTTCTTTACCCACATTTTACACAGCCCTGCTTTTAAAACCAGCAAGGCTGCAATCAACTGCTCAAGAATCTACTTGTGTTGTATGTAATTTCTGTAGTGTTTGCTTAAAAAAAGAAGAAAGATTACTTGGTGATTCAAACTGAGTAAGCTTAATAGAACTGTAATGATCTTGGCCATCAATTTCAAAGCTGCAATGGCTAATCACTGTAGATCCAGCTCTGTATCCTGACACACACATGGAGAGTATTAACAGAGATCTTCCCACAAAGTTTCTTTTAGAGCTTAGTACAGCAATTTGCTAAATGTTCTCCCTCACATCTATAGAAAAGGTCATGGTCCCTTTTAAATAAATACTCTAATGCCTTCTGCATATTGCCTTTGTAAAAAATACATAACATGTGTGCAGGTCCCAAACAGGAGCAACATTTGCATGTGGCAACATGTCATACAGTTTGCATCATGACACTGCAGAGTTAACAACACCTGTGAAAAATTTTGGCTCAGTAATGAATGCTTATATTGTATGCGCAGGAGAAATACACCATGTGTATTACACCCTATAAATGCTACACAGGAAATTAACATAAAGGCATTTGCAAAGTAAAAGCTTATATATCTCTCCCACGGAGGGTCCCAAGACTTGACTTCACCCCTCAAACACTGGGCAAGGATGCTGTATAAGTCTACGCGTTGATTCTTCATCAGTTCTGTGTACGCTCTCCAACACGTGAGACAAGAAGGCTCCATTTGTCTTCCTTTCCTAATATTTATTATAGCACCTGGGACACATAAGTAGGAGATGCTGGTGGTCAGAGCTCTGGCCCAATTCAGAGGCTGGGTGTCAGAAAGCATGTGTGCTGCCGCCCCCCACTGAGCCTAATGGAAAAGAGAAGGGGGAGTGCCACTGAGGCTCCAGTGCACGGGCAGGCTTCCTGCTATGTGATGGTGATTAACGCCTGCAGCTGGGTCCATCCAGCCTGGAGTTTGGATGTACTCGGGTGGGATAAATGGGAAGGAACAACGTGGTGTTATTTTAGGTATCCGTGGCTGCCAGGCCACTGGCCAAAGAGGGTGAGTCTTGAACCATGTGCAAGAAAAACAGAAAAGGGAGTGGCAGGGCAAGTATGTGTGTATTACAGGCTACAAGCAGAGACACCCCTGTAAACTGAGGGTGAGAAACTGGAGTAGGGGGCATGACTTAACATATCTGGCTGTTGATATAAATACCCCCTTTCCCACTGCAAATTGCATAAAGTCCCATCTCACTTTGTGGTGTGGGAAATAGACACAGACATCAGCCTGTTCTTCTGAGTGAAGTGTGCATGAGACCGTTAGTCCTTATCAAGGCCTTCTTGATTTTGAACCTGATTCCTATCCACAACTCAGGCAGCAATTTGAAATGCCAATTTCTAAATGTGATGAGAGATCCATGAAGGGGTTCATCTCTTGGAGGGTAAACTGGAATGTCTCGTGGTTAGTTTGCGGCCTTATCCCCCATATCGTCATTTATTTAACAACTGCTGTGGTTCACTGAATCTGAGACACCATCCACTGCCACACGCACCCTGATTTTACGTTCCTCTAAGAAAAAGAATATGTAGGAGCCGTCACTGAAAGATGCACGCTGATTTCCAAGGTGTTCAATTTGAAAATGGACATGACTTAGGATTCATGAAATAGTGTCTTGTTGCAGGCCTATTAGATGTCAGGTACTGGAGAGATTTCTTCCTTTCTTCATAGAACTGACTGCCCAATCGGATATGAGGCAAGACTGCATCTGTAACCCCTTAGTTCTTCCATAGGCCCGACCACAAGGAAGCCAGACTTTCTCTTAAGTGTTTCACTCCAGAAAGACGTCAGCCCTTTACGCCTGCCACGTTTAACAGCAGGTGAGCAGGTAAACAAAAGAAAATAGGAAGATGCACAGATCTTCAAATTAGCCAGCACTTGAGCTCTATGGTGCTGGAAACCTTACGGAACCTAATTTCCATAACTCCGCGTTGATTTCTGTTTTGTTTGCAAATATGTTTCCTGTATTTATTCCTTGTGAATAAATAGCACTGTCTATTTCATTTCTAGAAAAATAAACGTGCTGTTTCACAGACAGCAGTTCACTGGACAGAGAAGAGCAGAACCCAGATATGGAGATCATACACTTTTTTTTTTGAGGAAAATCAGCCCTGAGCTAACATCTGCCACCAATCCTCCTCTTTTTGCTGAGGAAGATTGGCCCTGAACTAACATCTGTGCCTATCTTCCTCTCTTTAATAAGGGGGACACCTGCCACAGCATGGCTTGATAAGCGGTACATAGGTCCGTGCCTGGGATCTGAACTGGCAAACCCCAGGCCCCCGAAGGGTAGTGAGCGAACTTAATCACTAGGCCACCAGGTTGGCCCCAGATCATACACTTGGAAGTAAGATTTTAAAAACAGATTGTTATCCATCTATACTTCCTCATCTTGCTTTACAGGTGTAGCCTGGAGGCAAGTTTTGGTTTCACTGGATTAGTTTACCATTGATGCCCTGAGATCCACTTCTGAAAGTGACCAGGACAGCCATTTAAGTCAGGCAGGCACAGTGGAAGGTGCACTGTGTACCCACGTCTAAGCCACAAGGGCCCCGACTGCGTCCTTTGCTTTCATCCTTGTTCTGCCTGCATAGTCTTCGAACCCCAAGCTATTGACCACCCACCCAACAAAAAGGAACCAATTTCTTTATCCCACTTCGCTCTGTCAGGTAACTTTCTCATACTTACAGATTTGAGCCTGATTTGATTCTATGCCATTATTTTCTTCATTTTGCTTCGTAAAAGCCTTAGGTTAAAGGGTGCATCTGATGCCCTATCCAGCCTGAAGGAAAACAGCTCTCCTGGAAAGGTTGTCTGTGGCATTTGAGTAGTAACACACTCTATAAACTCAACGAGTAACGCAAGCTCAGAAATGTCACTCGACCTCTTCTGCCGTCACAGCACTGGTTAGGATGGCTCTCCAGTTCACAGTCCTGAACTTTTATTTTCATTTCGATTATTTAATTGGTTTTTTTTAAGACTTTATTTTTTCCTATTTTCTCCCCAAACCTCCCAGTACATAGTTGTATATTCTTCGTTGTGGGTCCCTCTAGTTGTGGCATGTGGGACGCCGCCTCAGCATGGCTTGATGAGCAGTGCCGTGTCCCCGCCCAGGATTCGAACCAAAGAAATGCTGGGCCATCTGCAGCGGAGTGCACGAACTTAACCACTCGGCCATGGCGCCAGCCCCGATTTAATTGGTTTGCTTTTATTTCAATGTCATCAATGATTCTGATGTTTGCAAAGTTTGGAGTTTCCTGGATCTGTCGTTCCATCAAAGTGGGCTACTCTGTGGTTACCCAGGTAATTTTATCCTCATTTCTCAAGTTCAAGATTGGCAGCTTTATTTTATTCTTTCTCTTTCTCCTTGCAGTATATATGACCAACAATGTCTTACCTTTGTATTAGGCTCTGCAGTTCCCAAATACTTTCTCATACATTATTATCTTCGAAATTCGTACAATCTTTGTCAAGTGACCCACCACAGCCTTTTAGGCAAAAACTCTTCATTTTTGTATTCATCTTTAGAGAGAGGAAGGGCAAATAGGTTCATTTGTTGCCTTTCTAGTTTATAGTCATTTTTAGCACTAAAAAACAGAGACTTAAAATAGACTTAAATAAAGATTATTGTCATGATATAGAGTAAAATCTCTTCTCCTGTGTAAATGACTATAATGGTTAAATTTCATTCAAATGTCTAAAAATAAAATATCAAAACACAAAGTGGCACTTATAGTTTGAGCATGGCAGCATGAAGTTGACAGTTACATCTTTTTATTTTGAGATTCCTTTATCACCACAAGAAGATTAGGAAACAAATGCAAACTCCATTTCCAGCAAAACTCAGGAGCACCTGAAATCACAAACAATAACAGGAAAAGAAAACTTTCCAAAAGGGACAGTTGGAGCCAAGGGAATGCGGAGGCTATGGGTCTCAGACACAGCTGGGCGTCAGAGAGGAGGAGTCCTTTGGGCAGCTAGGCAACAATATCAGGGAACTTATAGACTTTTCCACAAGAGCTAATACGTATAAGATCCTAAAAGAAAGGAAGTTTGATCCAAGAAATTTTCTATTTGTCCTTATTTAATGAAAGAATGAAGGAACAGAAAAAAGGTTTTGAACTTTCAAGAACTCAAGTAATATTGTTCCCATGGACTCTTCTTAAAG